TGGGTTAGTTAGTTGGTTGCATTGATTCGTGCGTTGTTTTGTTGGTTCGTTAGCTTTTTTTTGTTCTTTCGTTTGCTAGTTCTCTCACTCATTAATTAGTTGGTTCTTGTTGTTCATTAACTCATTGGTTCTTCTTTTCCCCCCTCTCATTCTTCAATGAGTGTGTTGCTGAGTTCATTCTTTCGTTTTCCCCTCCATTCATTCGCTGCTTCTCTTTCCCCAGATGTGGTGGACGACGGGTCCGTTTCTGGAACAAGCCACTGGCCCCCGATGGCTGGCCCCCGGCCCTCGGGCAGGGGTGCTGCAGCCCCCCGTGTCCTGGAAGACCCTGGCTCCACCCTTCACAGAGACACCGGGGTCACATCCAACCTCACACTCCAGGGTAAGCTACTCGGCAAGGGGTGGGACAGTGCATGGGGTTACTGTGGTCTTCTTCCCTGGGATCCACCCACTGCGAGGCTGGTCCCAAATCTTCTCCTTGTCTCTGTCCATCTCAGACCTCGAGGTCCAAGGAGAGTCTAAATCTGGCCAGCCAATCGCCAAGGATGATAACAGCAATACCTCCATTCTGATTGGCTGCCTGGTGGCCATTATCCTGCTGCTATTGGTCGTCATCTTCCTCATCCTTTGGAGGCAATATTGGAAAAAGATCCTGGGAAAAGTAAGTGAGATGGGGCCAGGGGGGCTGCAGGTCGGGATTGAGGGGCCCTGGCAGAGCTGTATACGGATGTGAGTGTGTGTTATATTTGCCATTGGGTGGCATTACAGAGCATATACCTATACATTCCTTAACATGCGTGCTGTTCCTAGATCTCGTGGGGCAGACATGAATCAGGACACCTGGGTTCTGGCCAAGCTCTGGAGGTTGGGATTGGGGTCTAGTGAGTTACAGCAGCAGGGGCTGGGAGCCAGGACTCCTGGGTTCATTCCTAACCCTTGGGGAGGGAGTGGGGTGTTGTGGTCAGTGCAGGGGCTGGTGTGATCTCCCTGCCACCCCTCTCAGGCCCAGCGGCGAATCTCCGACGACGACCTGACCGTGCACTTGTCGGTCCCGGGCGACACCATCGTCATCAACAACACGATGGGCTCCCAACGCCACTCGAACCGCTACGAGCGCATCCACTCGGGGGAGACCGAGTATCAGGAGCCCAGCCGCGCCCGCATGAAATTGCCCGAGTTGCCCCATGGTGCCGAGAACTCCGGTGAGGGGCAGGGGATCGGAGGGACCCACCAGCTATGCTGTGGGGAGGGAGGCTCCATCCAAGCATGGAGAGCCAATGCCAAGAGGACTAGGTGGAACAGGATGGTAGAAGGAAGGGGTGGGAGAAAGAGGTGGATGGGTTGACAGGCAGATAGACAGATGGATGGACAGACAAATGGATGGATGGAGAGAGGGACAGGTGGGTAGGTGGTTGGATGGATGGACGGACAGGCGGATGGTTGGATGGATTGACAGGTGGATGGATAGGTGGACAGACTGGAAAATGTGCAGATGGATGACCATATGAGTGGATGGATGGATAGACTGACAAGAGGATGAAGGGATGGATAGATGGCTAGACAAATAGACAGATAGATGGCTGGATGGTGGCCAGGTGGATGAAGGGACTGATAGATGGATGGACAAATAGGTGGATGGATGGATGAGGACCACATGGATGGATGGACTGACAGGTGGATGAAGGGATGGATGGA